AGTTAATTTGAATGTTATATTTTATACAACATTTAAAAAATAGAATGCGAATATATTTTACTGAATAAAAAAATCCATGAAATAACTTTTCATAATTTTAAATCAAATGTAATCTTCTATTTTAAGAAATAGTATTTCAGAATGAAAAACCAAAATCATTTTCTATTTTAAACATAAAATTGAAAATTCAAAGACGAAACCGAATTAGCCCATGCTTAGTTCTCGGTTTCTGAATGTTGAAAATTAACCATGATTCATGAATAATGAAAAAAAATTAAATTTGATACATGAATTAGTTTATTTAATACTCATGCATTTATTTAAATCATGTATCCAAATGATTCTTTGTATCATATTATTCATAGTATGTAGGAAAAGTCATTAATTAGTCTATTAAGTTCATACAATGTATTTAGGATCCTTTGTACCTATAAAAGGCCTTGTGTTTGAGACATTTTATAAAGTCAAGCCATGGAATACAAATATTTTTTGAGAATTCTGTGAATTTTTCTATCCAGTCTTTGGGGTTATGGGTTTAGGGTTTTTTAGGGTTTGGGGTTTTTTTTTTTTTTGGGAAAATAACACTAGTGTGGCTTATTTTATAATATAGGAAAATGAGAATACACATAAAGGAGGGCGACATAAACCTGACCTCCTGTAAGTGAAAAAAATTACAAATGTCTCGAATGAAGCGCAAATTATATTTAACAAAATGTGTCTAAAAAACTAGTGAATAATACTGAAGGGTATTCTGTAGGATAAATCTTTGGGTGATAGCACATAGACATCGATCGTGTCATGCGTCTGGTTTGCAGTTTCTGGGACACAGTGTACAGGCCATGTCCGGGACACGTCCTGGCTGCGGCAGGGACGCAACCTGATTTTCAAGAATTTTTAGGCAGTTTGTGGGCAACGTTTGTAAGCCACGTTTGGGACCCGTCCTGGCCGCGGTAGGGACACAATCTTATTTTCAGGCATTTCCAGGCAATTTGTGGGCACAGTATGCAAGCAATGTTCGGGACGCTTCCCGGCCACGTTAGGGACGCAAGCATATTTTCAACCAAATGAAGGAAGCACAGTGTCTAGGTCATGTCAAGGACGCAAGCACATTCTCAAGCATTCTGGGCAGTTTCTGGGACACGATGTACATGCCATATTCAGGATAAGTCATGGTCACGACTGGGACGCAGCCTGATTTTCAGGCGTTTTTGGACAGTTTCTGGGCACTGTGTTCAGGCCATGTCCGGGATGTAGCCTGATTTTCAGGCATTTTAAGGTAGTTTCTAGGTTACGGTGTGTAGGCCATGTCCAGGACGTGTCCGAGCCACATGAGGGATAGAGCCTGATTTTCAAGCATTTCAGGGCAGTTTTTTGGGACGATGTACAAGCCATGTCCAGGAAGCGTCCTAATCGCGGCAGAAATGCAACCTGATTTCCAGGCATATCTAGACAGTTTTTGGGACATGTTGTGCAGGCAATGTCCAAGATATTACAGGGATGCCGCCTGATTTTTAGGCATTTATGGGCAGTTTTTGGGCACTATGTGCTGGCCATGTCCGGGATGCTTCTTGTCGCGACAGGGACACAGCCTGATTTTCAATCATTTATAGGCAGTTTTTAGGTCATAGTGTGCAGGCCATGTCCCGGATGCTACAGGGACACATCCTAATTTTCACGTATTTCTATACATTTTCTTGGACACGGTGTGCAGGCAATGTTCGGGAGGCGTCAGGGCTACTACAGGGATGCAGCCTGATCTCCAGGCATTTGTGGGTAGTTTCTGGGACACGGTGTGCGGGCCATGTCCAGGATGTAGCAGGGATGCAGCCTGATTTTCAAACATTCTAGGCAGTTTCTGGGATACGGTGTGAAGGCCACATCCGGGATGCAATCGGGCCACGACGGGGTCGCAGCCTAATTTTCAAGCATTTTTGAGAAGTTTTTGGGCACGGTGTGCAAGCCTTGTCCTAGACACAGCCAGATTTTCAGGTATTGCTCGTTAGTTTCTGGGTCATGGTGTGCAGGTCATGTCAAGGATGCGTTAGGGCCACGGCAGGGATGGAGCTTGATTTTCAGGTAATTTCGGGTAGTTTCTGGGGATTGTGTGCAGGCCATGTCCGGGATGCGTCCTGGCTAGGTAGGGACGTAGCCTGATTTTCAAGTATTTCTAGGCAGTTTGTGAACACGTCGTGTTGGCCGAGTTCAGAACGCATCTTGACCGCGACAGAGACGCAGCTTGGTTTTTAGGCATTTCTAGACAATTTTTGGGACTTGGTGTGCAGGCCGAGTCTGGGACACGTCATGGCCATGGCAGGGACTTAGTCTAATTTTCAGGCATTTCTACGTAGATTCTAGGTCATAGGGTTTAGGGTTTTTCTTCAATTAATTTTGAATTAAAAGTAGGTAATATAGACATGACAAAGAATAATAAAAATAAAATGTAGCTCAATGTTACAACCAAGAATAATAAAATTAGTCTACACAATGAAACCAAACTTCCCACCGTCACAGTGACACAAAAAAAATCCCACCGCCGCCTTTAGACCAGTACCACCGTTAGTCGGGGCAAGCCCCAGTGCATGGTAGTGGTGACGGTGATGATGAGGAGAAGGTGTATGCGTTGTAGATTGGTGGCTGGAGCCATGTTTATTGGACAGAACCATAACCTCAAGCTTTTGACCCTTCTAGAGATGTTCTTCAGCTCCACTGATGAAGAAAAATAGACCTGATTTTTCTAGTGAAATTGTAGTTTCTCCATCATGGTGTGATTTTATTGGATTGGCGTTGTTGCAGATTTTGTAGTTTCCTCGGTCACTTCCAGCACTGAATCAGTCTTCGAATCATACTTCAGAACTAAAGAATCCCCAATCTGAAAAATGACGTCAACAGAAAATGAAACTGCCAATAAATTATTTTCACCGTTTATTATAAACTCCCTTGCTTTAGAACGAACACACAACAAAAACACGACGGTCGAAAATAAAAAAATAATTTTCAGTGAAGCCATTTTAACACGGTGTGCAGGCAATGTTCGGGACGCGGCAAGGATGCAACCTGATTTTCAGGCATTTCTAGGCAAATTCTTGGACACAGTGTTCAGGCCATGTCAGGCGCGTCAGGTACGCAGCCTGATTTTAAGGCATTTCTAGGTAGTTTCTGGAACACGGTGCGTAGGCCATGATCGGGATGTGCTTGGGCCACGACAAGGACATATCCTGATTTTCAGGCATTTTTGGCAAGTTTTTGGCCATAGTGTACAGGCCACGTCCGGGACGCCTCCTAGGCGCAGTAGGGACACAGTCGGATTTTCTGGCATTTGCAGGCAATTTGTGGGCACGGTGTGCCGGCCATGTCCGGGACGCGTTTTGGCCACGATAGGGACGTAGCTTGATTTTCAGACATTTCTTGGCAAATTTTAGAACTCGGTGTGCAGCCCATGTCCGGGATGCGTCAAGGCCACGGCAGGGACGAAGCCTGATTTTGAAGCAATTTTAGGCAATTTCTAGGACACCGTGTGCAAGCCTTGTCTAGGATGCAACAGGGATGTATCCTGACTT